ATTCTGGGAGTTGAAGTCCACTCATCTTAAAGTGGCCAAGTTTGGACAACACTGTTTTATAATATGAGAAAAAATTCAATCTTTGTGCAATACTTAATTCTAAGATCTCCACTGTATTGTTATTTACGAGTCTTGGTTATTCAGCGCTCAAAGTGTTGCATTGACAGGTGGTCAGAAATCTCTTTTCAGACCCATCGGAGGCCATTGCCAACTTTATTTTCTATGAGCTTGGAAGTTTTTTATTTTTTCTTATTTTTTTTTCTTATTTCATGCCAGACTTCTTGATTTGATGCCACGGTGTCTGGGGTGTCTGGTTTTCATTATATTTAAATGGAAGTGTTGTGAGCTTACCATCTGCTGCGTAAAGATTTTCATCTCAATTAAAAAAAAAATAAAATAAGATAATGGCGCTTTTGAGCAAGCTTCATTGCTGTGGTTTTAGGAACCCTTTTTTCTAGCAGCAACTTGGAAGTTTCTTGTATTTGCCTTCATTCCAGAGGGATGGCTTTTTTTCCTTCCCAGTTTAACAAACCCGTTTGGAACTCTTTGTGGTCTCCCATCCAGAAATTAACTTGCCCAACCCTTCTTAGCTTCCCAATCCACGTAGGGTATAGGCAGGTGTATAAAGCTGAGACTATTTTTTTTTCAATCCCCGGGGGGGGGAATATTTTAAAGTGAAAGTGTTCTAAGCAAACATCATCATCATCATCATCATTATTATTATTATTTTAATTTTAATTTTCGAGAATCCCTGAATTTCCTGCAGGTGGTTCTCCGTCCTTCCGTTGTGTTTTCTCTCTCTCTTTTTTTTTTTTTCCTGGCCATATTTCTGACTATTCAGGCAAAATAAGAAAAAGGAAGGGTTAGAAAGACCTGGCTGCCTTCAGTCGAGGGGGGCTTCGGGGGCAGCGTGGGCTGAAGCCAGCCGCAAAGAGGCATTTTTATAAATAGCGATGCACGATCCCCCCCTCGTTGCACGGATTTGCGGATGAACCTCCCCTGCTTTTTCATTGGGGGTGCCTGGGGGGGCGGTCTTTGAATTGGGTCGACCCAAAAGACCCAGCGCAAGGGAGGGAGCCTGGTTTGGAACCCGGACTGGAATTTTGCCCAAGTGAGATCCGGAGGAAATGTTTTGGGAAAAAGTTCCTCTTTTGGCAACCGGTGGTCCTCTTTAGGGGGATGTGTCGGAAGCCTTGAGGGCGAGTAGTGGGCGGAAGCACAAAATGGCAGCCGGGGAGCATTGCCTGTGCCCGGGAAAGTGGGCGTGGCCAATCTCGAATTACCTGTTGGCCGAAAGGTAAACTCAGGGAACTGGAGCCAGCCTGGGGTTCGGGTGGTGCAGGGGAGACAGGGGTTCAAGTCCTCCCTCGGTCACGGAAGCCCCCCCAAGGAGCTTGGGGACAGCTCTTCTCTGTTAGCCCAGCCTACCTCACAGGGTTGTTGTGCGCCGAGAACTTGTGGTTGTGAATGAAAGGCGGGAGAGAAAATACCACTTTTTCATTTTAAGTATTTCTATTTGCAGAGAGGCAGGTGAGGCAGGGAGCCTGTCTGGGGACTGGGTTTGCCCCTCCGTTGGCACGTTAAGGCCTGCCACCCAATTCAGAGCTTCTGCAGGACCAAAAGTGTTAAATACCTGGGGCAGTATCGTATGAACTCAGTTTAATTACATGGCGATGAAATCATATTGAATTTCAGTTTTTGCATTAGCCCCCCCCCATTTGGAGAACAGTTCAAAAGCTGCTCCAGCCCTGAGCCCCCAAGAAGTTGGCACCTCTCTGCGTGAGGCTGGGCGTTTCCAAATCTATTTCCATCACGGGCACCAAGTTGCCTGTCCTGCTGTAAACGTTGCCGAACTGCAACTCCCAGCATCCCTTGCTGGTGTCCCTGCTGATTGGCGTTGCTGGGAAACGTAGTTCCTTAACATCTAAACAGCCGCAGTTGACCACACTCTCTTTGGCTGTGTTAACACAGCTTCTGTAAGTACAGGTCATCCTCATTTAGTGACCACAATTGGGACCGGCAGCTCGCTCATTAAGTGAAGCGGTCACTAAGTGAAACCGCAACTATACTTTTGATTTTACTTCAGCTTCCCTTTGCCTTTTATACCTGTGAAGGTCATCAATGCAAGGATTGGTCGCAGTTACTTTTTCATCACCGTCATAACTGCGAGCGGTCGCTAAATGAGGCAGTCACTAAATGAGGACTACCTGTACCTAAATCACTGATGAGCAAATTAATCTGTTGCCTAAGTTCACACAACATCCTAAAGCGTAAATTAAAGCCCCCCCCCCCCCCCCCCCCCGGTCTGGGTTCCTCTAAAACTGAACCACTAGCCACCCAATCTTGTTTTTGTCTAGCGTGCTGAATTCCCACTTTAAAGAGAGAGATAGAAGGATGCTTAAATATGCAAGGAAGTGCACTGAAATGCAAATTTCATACAGAATACAGAAATGCACATTTCTGTGCATTGCAAATGTAGTGACTGGCTTGCGACGGTCGCTTAGTTTTCCGGAGAAACGAGACAGGCACTGAAGTGCATAATCTCTAAAATTAGCAATATACCCATTTGCAATTTTTAACCAAGGGAACGTGTGCATTAGGTTTGCACTCACTGAATGGGACCGAAGCAGGGGGGACCCTCCATCACCATAGCTTGACACGGTACCTGAAATTATTCCCCCCCCTTTATTCGCCCCCCCCAAAATAGGGGCAAGAATCTGCTCCCTGTAAATTCCTGCCATTTTGAATGGGGGAATGGATGAAAACTGATGTCTAAGCCCCAGAAGTGTGCAGAAGAATATGCGCTTGAGTAAGGAGGTGGAATCAGGGCCTCCGTATAACGCCTCCTGGACTCACTCAGTGATTTGTTTGGCTACTTCAGTCCTATCCCCCCCTCCAGTTGTTTGTTTCATAGTGCAGGATAAAGGAAGGATCACCTGGTGTCCTACTTTCCATCTCGCTTCTGCCGCTGTTATGTGCAACAGAGGGCTAACGCTGGAATAACCAAAGGTGGTGGGACTGTCCATGCTAATTCCCCCCATATTGTTTTCGGCGGTCTGGAAAGCGCCTTTCGATAAAGATCCCTTAAGTGCTTGCCTGTGGTTCGTCTGTTAAACATCCATTAACTACTTTGGATGTTTCCAGATGTTTAATAAATAAACAGCAAGCATGTTTTCACTAGCTGAGCCGCGTGAGGCGTGCGCTCGCTCGCTCCGATCGGGATCTGAAGGTTGACTGGATTGCACAGGATGCAAATTGAACTGGAAATGCCGTTCTCCGGCATATTTTCCCAAGCCCGTCACGCAGTCCCTGGAAAAATCTCACGTCCTTTAAGAAGGGGGTGGCTGGCAGAGCGAGGGGGCCCGCTTGGTACCCCAAACACCTTGGCGTCCTTCGGGTCTAAATGCTGCACGCTGGGAAATTAAAGTTGCCCCATTCAATGCTTGCACCGTAGGCTCACCCGCCCGTGAGTCGCCACACTGGTGCAACTGAGCGACTTAGTTTCTGTGGGTCGCAGAGGTGTGGTAAGGCGGGAGGAGGTGGTAGAGACCCCTCCCATTTTTGGTAACCAGAAACTAGCTGCGATTGTTCCATGCTGGTTTGCTGGGTGCCGTTCCCTGCTCACAGGTGCACGCGGGTTCGAATCCTCCTCCCAGCGTCCCCCTGAATCTGAAATCAGTCCTGTGCTACTCTAGTCAATCTCACAACTTGTTTTTATCCTCATGCCTAACCTTGATGACTTCACAACCCCTTGTACATACCTAACCGCATGAATTGCACCATCCCTTGTACACGCCTGTGTCAGTTTCACAACCCCTTGTATAACCGTGTCAATTTCACAGTCCCTTGTTTCAAATCACCAGATATTAAACCATTCCCTATTTCTGAAAAGTCTTTACGTTCTAAAAATAAAAGCAACACGGTACCATACAGTCTAGACCAGGGTTTCTCAACCTTAGCAGTTGGAAGATGGGTAGACTTCAACTCCCAGAATTCCCCCGCCAGCTAAGGTGGAGAGATCCTGGTCTAGACCGAATGAAGTTTAAGAACTGAATTAATTCTGGATTGATAGCACATGGATGGTCTCTAGAATTATTTTTTTCCCTTTTCTTTTTTAACCAATTTTCCTCCCTTTTCCTTTCTTTTCTGTCTTTTTCGTTTATTTGGATCACCCCCAACGTAGGTTGATCCTTTCTCACGGTCTGGCCATGACTATTTTTTTTACTCTCTCGCTGACCCTGCTTTCCAAAATGCAATGTAAAGAACAGGCTGTTTCCTGCTGTTCGTGACGGAGGAACCCGGTTCTCTCCCTCCCTCTGCAGTTCACGGAGGAGAAGCTGGGCCAGGCGGAGAAGACCGAGCTGGACGCCCACTTCGAAAGTCTCCTGACCCGGGCGGACAACACCAAGAACTGGACCGAGAAGATCTTACGGCAGACGGAGATCCTTCTCCAACCGAACCCCAGTAAGCGTTTGTTAGCACCGGGAGCAACCCGTCCACTTGTTTCCTTTAGCTGTAACTGGGATCTTTGCCCACTTCAGTTGCCCACGAATCGTGCTCTTCAAACCAGCATCTTGCTGCGACGATCCGTCACTGATCAACGGATACGATCAACCATCTTTCTTGTGTTTGGCCCCTTCCGCAGCTCCCAAAATGATGCACGGACACCCATTTTAGAAAATGTTCGGTGGGGCGCTCTTCTGAAGTGTGTGGGGGTGCGGTTCCCAGAATCCCCTGGCCTGAGTCACTTTGGGGGTTCTGGGAGTTGCAGTCCAAGCCTAGCTGGACAGTTGCCCAAGCTGACGGAGCGGGTGATAAACGATTGAAACAGGATAGCTGTATCCGTTCGTGCAAGTGGAAAAGCTTCCCGCGGGGTGAGTCCCCACATTGCACCAAACCCTAATCTGGTTTTGGCTTAGAGCAGTGTTGTCCAAACCTGGCCACTTTAAGATGAGTGGACTTCAACTCCCAGAATTCCCCAGCCAGCCATGCTGG